TTTTTCATGTTTATTTAAACTAAACCAGATTTAATTCAGACCGACAAAAGACCACCCCCAGATGTGGCTCAGAAAGTTTTACCAACATTTGGTGTCAAATTTTTAAATTAAAGTCCGCCAAAATTTATAATTTTCCTTTCACAAAGTTGTTTTAACTGTTTGGTTCCAAAAACAGAAGACCACCCTAAGATGTGGTCTTCAAGCACAAAAAAAATAATAAAAGTAAGTAAGTAAACAAACAAACAAATTAACTAAATCAATCAATCAATCAATCAATCAATCAATCAATCAATCAATCAATCAATCAATCAATCAATCAATCAATCAACCAATGAACCAATCAATCAATCAATCAATCAATCAACCAATCAATCAATCAATCAATCAATCAATCAATCAATTAATTAATTAATTAACATGTTCCTCATCATTTTCAAAGTGGAAGTCAAAATGAACCATGATCATTCATTGCACAGAAATTGCACAAATTTATTTATTAATGTCTCACAGACAAATATGAGACCATAAAAACCTTTTTTGAAAGAAAATAATGTAAGACGCAAATAAAGATGCACCTTTAAATCACAAATATTGCAAAGAAGACTTGTTCCTATTAATCTATGATTTTCAACAGTAAATGTTTTTTCTCATTTTACGTTCATGCAGCACAAACGAGGGTGGTGGTCCCAAACGCACCAGGCAACAGGTGAAAGTGAAATAGAAAAGCATTCGTCAGACTGGTAGGTGCTTCGATGAACTGCAGCTTCAGCAACAGATGAGATGTGTAATTGTTTCCAGGACGTTTTCTCACACATCGTGCCCTGTTGTATTGATTTTAGCGGTTAAAAAGAAGGCTCATGCGACTGAAACAGGAGATGGACCACCAACCCCAGCCTTTACCCCTGCAGAGGAACTGGCTCTCGACCAGAAATGGGGGAGTCCTGTGGTGGAAGAGATGCGGGGGGAGGGGCGGGGGGCAGCCACAGACTGTGTCCCACCCTCTGAAACTGACAGCTACATCCAAGGTATGCTACTGGAAAACAATCAACCATTCACTGTGTTATGGGGATTGTATGACATGAGCTTGCCTTACAGTGTCTGGCAACACGCTTAGTTTGCTGGTGCCACCAGACAATGACCCCGTGAGTATTTTCATTAAAGGCATATTACATTGCTGGGTTGCGGTCACGTGACCCGGATGACACGCAAAATTCAGATGGGGGGCAGGAAGTGATTTGCTCTGGTTTAAAACACAGTGAAATGGATACCAGAGAGAATGCTAATGCCCTAAACGAGCTGGCGCAGACGAGAAATTGCGAAAAAATACTCGTAAAACTCAAAAACATTGATATAAAAGCTTTTGATGTCTATGCTGAAACTGTATCGCTGTCGTCGTTTTGAAACTTCTGATTTCAAAATAAAATCCACGTGTATCGTGTGTGTATACATATGCTTCGTGCTACATGTTGCCATTTGCTTCCCAAACAGAACCATACATTCTGACAGCATTTGTGTACAAATATATCCATATATTGATTTACTTATCAGGATTTTGAAAAAAATATTCCACCTTATGGTGTCTTATTTTGAAAAATACGGATGTTGTGTTTGTTTCTTTTCCTGTTGGTGCAACATGACCTTTGTAGATTGACTCCAGAGCAGCTTCGGCGTCCAGCAAAAATAGGCTTGGCTCTAAATTTGGTGGATCGCCGCTGTGTGGAGTCAGTGTAAATACTCTCATTGATTATCATGGTTTGCAGCGGAGGTCAGGCCGGAGCAGAGCGGAGACGCATGTAGTGTAAATTGGGGGTCAGTCGATCCACTTTTGTCATCTTTTGTCAGTAAGTTTTTTAAAATCAACTCCCTTGTGGCACACTGCTTTCGGATCACGACAAGAACTTTTACATTTCTCCAGAAAGAGCGGTCACAGCAACCGTACACCACACAGAATTTACGCATTTTGACGCTGAATCAGCAGAAGAAAACGGGGCTGCATTA